CGGGGGGGGGGGGGGTGGGGGGGGGGGGGGGGGGGGGGGGGGGTGGCGGCCATTTTGTCAAGCTGCACCCTGCGGTGGGGCAGTGCCTGGCAGCCAGGTGGGAGGAGGAGGATTTAGCAGCCTCCTCCGCCTGCAACAGGCGCAGAAGAGGCCATTCAGGGATGTTAACAGGCTGCTAATAGTAAAAGGGTTATTTCAGAGTAAGCATAGCTCCCTAAAAGGCTCAGCTGCAAGCGCGAGCGTGCAGCACCTCCAGGTCTGCAGGACCCACGGCCAGTGTCTCCGAGCCTACGAAGGTACCTGCATGCGAGGACCTCCTTCCACAGGGCAGTAGTTTCAAAACATTAAAACTCCTGCGCACCTGAGCCCTGCAACAAAAGCAGGCACCCCACCCGCCAGCCTGCAGCTGGAGAGGCTGCCGTTCACCTGGGAGCTATATTGGCTCAAGCCCAGGTGCAAAACTCACCCGCTTCTTGCTTTTGGCCCCAACCTGTTACCCAGCACCTGTCACCGCTGCGGACTCTGCGAGAAGAGGGAGGCAGGCAGACGGGCTGAATGGCGTGGCTCATGGCCTCCGGCCAGGGCTTGCTTAGCTGCAGCAGCGCGATGTCGTAGTCGTAGTTGCGGCTGGTGTAGTATTCGTGGACGACGATCCGTCTCACGGCGGACACCAGCTTGGCGCGGCCTTGCGTTCGCATCCCCAGGTGAGCGTGCCACGCTCGGGGGTCCGCCAGCCTAGTGGAGCGCAAAAAACGAGCACGCCATCTGCTCAAACCCTACGCCAAAATGACCCCCCCCACACACACACACTTCTCCCCCACCGCCCCGAGCCCCAGCAGTGGGGCAGAGGCACAACCTGCCTCGATACAATTCAAACTCCAGAAGCTAAAAGCTTCCCGGGACGTTAGCATGGGACCTGGGATGAAGTTAGGAGGGAAGACGGCTTACTTGCTCCCTTGGAAGCAGTGAGCTGCGGAGACGAGCCATTCTCTGGATATCACGGATGCCCCACAATAAGCAGCTCCTGCAAAATGCAGGCTGACCTGCCAGGGCCATTCCCCTTCCTGCGCGTCTCTACCGCCCACGATCCGAGAGACCAGGTCGCTGCTCTTGCCACTGCCACAACCTGCAAGCGGTATTTCAAGTTATCATCCCCAGCGGTTTCCTTTTTGCTAGGGCACTTCCCACACGGGCGCAAAAAAAAATCTTGTGCCTCAAAACGTTCTCGAGTTTCCTTGCCCTGCTCTAAGCAGGGAACTCCTCCATTTGGCTACTCTGCTCCTGGAGCAAGAGGTGACTCTAAACAAGGCACACGCAGGGGAAATAAAAGTTTTTTTTTTTTTTTTTTCCGCCACAAAAGTGGGCCCCTAAGTCTGTCTTGTGCCATAGAAATGCCAGAGGAGCTACTGATTTGCTTGAACAACCATCACAATGCAGGTGGTATATATAGATGGCATGCCAGAGGCAGCTGAAGGTCTGATAAAATGCCCTAGGACATTTAGCTTAAGCGAGTGAATCCTAACCCCTTTTTTATTCCTACTGCAGTAACAGTCAGCTGTTCACTTTATAAAAAAGTGAACCAAAAGCTTGTCTAAAGGTTACTTTAGTACAATCTGAGACTAGAACCTAGCTTGATGCTATGAAAGATTGGGCTTTTTTTTCTTTCTTTTTTTTTTTTTTTTTGCCATCCAGAAGAGATGGAGAAGTGAAACATTTCTATTTGTTACCTCCTTGCAGCTGGGTCACTCTGGCTGGCCAAATGCAGCTCGACTCCAACAGATGCATTTAACTCTATTGCACACAGTAAGAACGCTGCCTTATTTACTTGCAAAGTGAAGCTGGCTATTACCCCTGCTTCCCTGCTCAACCTTAATTACTCCAGCTTCCCTGCAATCAGCGTTACAGCTGACTAAGGCTCCCTATAACGGAAAGCTCACCCTCCCACAATTACTTAAGAAATCCTACAACCAGACCTGATGTAAATGGATACCTGAAACAATATCCCACAACCACTGAGTTAATTAAAAAACCTAAATACCTGTCTCATGAGTTGTACGAACTCCAAAACAAGGAGAAATAATGAGCTTTAAAGTGTAAAAAAGCCAAAGTTCAAAAAGCTGAATTTGGGAGAGACTCACTGCAGCTGCTTTCATCACTTCCATCAGTACAGTCCACAGTCCCGTCGCACTTTGCATTTTGTTTCCTAATGCAGATGTTATTCCTGCACTTAAATGTGTGATTGGTGCAAGGAATACCTGAAATAGTAGTGGCGGGGGGGAAATTCTGTTGAAGCAGCTTTGCATAAAGGCACATCTGCACAGATAAGATTTATACATGTATCAATAGGCAGGAGGAAACACAGCAAAAGACCACTTTGTCTGGGGTGGCTGAAACCAGTCTCCTTAAGTAGGATAAGCTACTGAAGTAGAACTGCATCTATACTAGTGCTTCTATCAACTTGGCTGTGCAGATGAGCATGGATTTTCTCCCATCCTTTCCCATAGCACTAATGAACATTGTTATACTGGCAAAAATGTAGCTGTAGAGCAAGTGTTATGCTAGAGGGAAAATATGCAAAACCGTGGAAAGCCGCCCTCCTTTATATCTCAACATTATATACGAAATAAAAGGCGGCAGTGAGAGCAGCCTTACTAATCGAATCCAGTTAAACTGCATTCCCAACTTTGGTCTTTTCCTGTTTCTCCTTGGCTCACACTAAGTAAAGACGCTCAAAAACAATCAATTTTTCTTGTCAATTTACAGAAATACCCTGTGATCATTTACAGTGACTATCAAGCAGGTTAAAAACATTACTTTTCTCTAAGAGTGGTGCTTCCAGCATTTCCCATTTGTGCTCCCTTGAACATGTCATGGTTTTCCTTTACTCTAAGAAGTGAAAGAAAGGCTGACTGAAAATTTTAATGGGCCTAATACCAAACTTACTACTTCCACAGCGTTTTAAATGCATTAGCCTTATAACCCTGCAAACTGCTCCAGAGAAACAATTATTATTTTGGTCTTTTTTACAGATAGTAGAATGGATCCAGGAAATAATTTGCACAGGATTATGTTTTATGGAGATAAAATCTAGGATTCAGACTTTAAATCCCGAGATCCCCATCCAGGACCTACACTACTTGATTCTTCTGCCAATATTTTACTGAAACAGATGTTCCTGAGCTCACTAAAAATAAACCATTTAAATCAGTAACTGCTTGTTTACAAGCATTTCAAAATGGAACAGATTTTTATAGCTCTAGTTAGATGTTAATAGTGCCTCTTAACTCCTTAAATACTGAATCCAGTATTCGGATCAGGGTTGGATAAATAATAGAAGAGGGAAGGAGTTAACCAAGAGAGTAGGCTTACTGTCGGTGCAGTTCTGCTCATCTTTTCCATTCTCGCAATCACTTACTCCATTGCAGGCAAGCAAGCTGTCCTGTACAGCGAAGCTAGAGTTACAGCTCCAGTCAGGGACAACTATAAAAATGCAAACCAAATCAGTTATAGAAGTGTGCTTGTAATGCTAACACTGCCCATCTGACTACCTCTGGGTAAACATTCATTGCTCCGCTGCACTTTACAAGGATGAGCAGGATTGCCATTTTATATATGGAGAAAATAAAGCACAAGAGATTTCAGTAAGTCACCCCCAGTCAATATTGCCCCAAGAAGAGTACCCCAAGCTCTGTCCCTCTTTCACCATGCACATTCACAATCACTCTCATACACTCTATATACCACAATTTGTCATTGCCACACAAAATAAAATAACTCCTTCCAAAATAGAACAGAACATCTCATATCTATCAGCATTAATCTCACGAGAAAAGACTAAAACACAGCCTATTTTGGCTGTTTTTCTGCATCTAAACTCTTCCTCTTGTTTTCAGTTCCATACCTTCTTCATTCTAAGTTTTGTCTTTGCTAGTTAACTACAAATTAAGCACCCAAGAGACTGGCTGATAGTCTGAACGTGGAGGCACAAAGGAAGCTAGAAACATCTTTTTCCTCCCAAAAAGTTTCACCTTGTTTCAGCTGCCTCTTAAGACTAGAGAATACATTTATTGAGTTTTCCAGTCCAGATGTCTAGTAAGTGAATACAAACCACAAAAGAGTTCATCACTTTCATCAAAACAATTGTTTATCCCATCACAGCGCTGCACCTGCTCGATGCATAAGCCAGTAGAGCACTTGAAATATCCGGGTGGACATGCTGGAGGTAAAACAACAACAGCAACAATTTAAACTTTCCCAAATATTTCCAGCTTGCTTCAATTTGCAGCCACTAAACAGTTGCAAGGAATGACAAAATAGATCAATCTTTTGTTTGTATGGGTTAACTTAAATTGGGTTCAGAGGGTGAAAATTGGGATTAAAAAAAAAAAGAGTCCCTAAACTTCAAATTCACCTTTTACTGCAATATGTATTGCAGGTTCTGCACTCTAACTGGACCAGACCAGTGAATTTTTTATGTGTCGACATAGTTTAGAATATCACCTCCTCCTAAAGGATGCTCTCCCTTTCAATAGTCAAAATAGTGGGAAGTTTGCAACAGGACTCATACCTTACTAACTTGGTGACTTATGAATCACATAAACATTTGTCTTAAAGTCATGAAGTTATCATATTTTTACATGCTCCACATACATGCAATACATAAAGTGTTCTGAGTGATAAATAGCTATAAACCATTACTTCTTTACTACTTTAACAACATGAGTATGCAGGATTAACATAGGGGAAAAAAAAGCAATATTTAGTTGTTCACTTCAGAATTTGAAAAAAACTCATAGGTTGTAGATGGTTTTGACAACCTTTTGCAATGTTTTCCAGTTCCGATTTCTAATTGCATGCAAAGTAGTCAAACCCATGGAAACGCTGGAATAAGTAGCTGGTTATTCAGTACTTTGCTCATTACCTGGAGCTCTTTATGGAGATAAAAAAAAAAAAAAAAGGAGATAAAAAACCCCACAAGAAATGGCAGATGTCATTGACTGACACCACACCGGTTGAGAGATTTCAGTGTGTGCCATTGCATTGTTCCAGGTTTAATTAGATAGGGAACAAATAACTAGCAGAGCTACTGGTGCAGATGGAAGCAAATCCGGGACCTCAGGAGCGCACCAGGCTTGCTGTATATGCCCACCTGGCCGCAGGCAGCCTTCAGGACTGTGCAGAGGAGACCAGACTGCGCCTGCACGGGAAACCAGAACACTGCACCTGCCCCAAAGCCTTAGCTGCATAGCTGTAAAGAGCTAGAAGAGGCTCTTATTTTGCTTGTCACCTGGCTTAGTAAGATTAGGAGTGAAAAGCAAGCAAACAAACAAACAAAAAACAAACCAACACAGCACTTCCTGCTTAAAACACTTAAGTTCTACTCAACCTGAGAAATACTGCTTCATAGGTCTGACATGCAAAGATGGGTTGAAAAAGAAAATTCCTCTTACGCTGGCTGATGTTATAGCTGCCATATTCTATCAGAAGTGGCTTCTCTGAGAGCTTGGAACTGCACTGAAGCTCAATATTAGCAGCAGAGCTTGCAACATGGAAGACCGTTTGGTGATCAACATAGTAACCACAGTACCTAAAAGGAAGCAGTAAAGTTTCAGAGCAGCCTTCTCACCAGAATTGCCAATAGTTAAATGGATTAATAGGGTATTATCTAGCGGTAAATATTTCTTTTGTTTATTTGGAAGTGCCAAAGGGACAGTTGAGAACTGAGGGGAATCACTGCAATTGCACAGGACTGCTTTTCATACCAATGCAATGCAATGGGTAGTAGGGAAATTGGGCAGTGATTTCCATGTGCGTGGACGTTGCCTGGTGTCTGTGCACCCTACTACAGCACACTGTGTGGAAGGGCCAAGCTTGTTTATGAGTTTCCATGAGTGCTTTCTTTCACCCTATGAAAGGGAAACATCCTTTTAACAGGACTAGGAAATTCTGGTCCAGCAGTGTGAAAAACAAGTGAGCAGAACAAAACAAAAAATAAGGCTCCTCTTACATATGTTTCGAAAACACCTACTTGGAGAGTTGATTTTAAAGCTTTCTACTATAATAAGTGACCTGTCAGAAAACGTCTCCTGGGGTAAAAGCGAACACTTCCTGCTAGAGGGAGTCTTCTCCCTGCTCATTTTAGCGTTTCCATCATTATCTGTCGCACAGTTAACACCTGCTGATCAATATCTCCAGCTTAAAACAGTCTACCAAAGTGCACAGCAAAAGGCCTGCTAGCCACCCAATTCCCCTTGATTAATCTAGAGACACATCTCATGTTTCTCCTTCTGTCAATATCTTCCACACAAATTCCCTCCAACAAACCTTGCCACCAGCTAAAAAAAATTACAGGCTGCATTGACCACTTTTCACACACACAAAATAATCTCATCATGCGAGAAGAGGAAGCTCCTGTCCATCCATGAAAGAGCTGAAACAGCTCTCTCTCGTACAATGATAAATGTCATATAGGATTTGTAAGACAGCTACAGATCCTTGGGAGCCCTCTACTGGTGTTTTACCACATCCAGGACAAACGGAGCTTGCAAGGCACCATCTGTAACTCTCTACCAGTGCTACAGGGAGAAGCTAATCAAGGTTACCCTGCCTCATATGTTGAAGCAGGGAGCAGGATGCCTTTTCAGGACATGAGTAGGTGCATGCATCTTGTGACAGAGAGAAAGGGACATGACAACAAGGGATTTAAGAGAAATAAAACACTGACAATGTGTTTGTTCACATAAATCTCTAATTTATGCTCACAAACACTCCTTAATATCTCAGCCTATGAGCGTTTCAGCAAAATCAGTTCATCAACTACAACTTCTCTGACTACACAGAGGAACGTTTAAGTCCATTGGAAACGTGACAAGGAAGAAACTGTATGGCTGCATTCAATGTCTCTGGTTAGATACAAGTGTCCCTAGAGATATGAAGGAACCTTATCTGCACCATCTTCATGGTCTTAATCTTTATTTACCAAGATCAGTTTCCTGTAGCTTCATAAACCTTTTCACCTAAGGTAGCAGAAAATGCAGGCTATATGCTGCAATTGAACGAAAGTGAAAAGTTTGTTTTCCATTTCATTAAGCAATGAAAAAAAATGTTTTCAGAATATTAAAGTGTTTCATGCTTTAAAGCATACTTTTTCCATGGAAAGGAGGCATAGAAGAGAAGATCAGAGTTCAAAAGCCTTGTTTCAGTGAAAAAAAAAAAAACACTTTGAAAGGAAAATTTGACTTGGCCTGCTTATATCATCAGCAACTTGCCACAGAAATCAGGAGCATGTGTTTTTTTTTTTTTTTTGCAGTACTTCAAAAATAACCCACTGAGTGCATTTCTAAGGGTCATACCCTGACATTGGGTTCTGCAGGATGTTTAATTGCTAGGCTTATTTAAAAGCAGGGTCTTTCATAGAGAGAATTGCTATAACATGAACCAATTACCAGTTCATTTTCAGATTATTCTTCTATCTGACACCCCTCTCGGAAGTTCTCCAACATCTCAAATCTTTCCACTTGGGCCATAACAAGGTAAAAAAAAACCCCCCACAAAAATACCCAATGGTGTCCATTTTGACTGGCTTTTTCATGTGCCCATCTAGTCCAGCAACCAATTCCCATCAAGGCACAATGCTAGCAGCTTAAAACAACCTGAATTTTCCTTATGCCAAAGTACAGCATGGTATTAAAGAACAGAGAAACATTTTTTTTTCTTTCAGTTACACTCTTAGCAGTCTGACTCAGTTTGCTTAGTTTCAGTAGTGGGTTAAAAGTTCAGTTTCAGGTCTGATCTTTCTGATGTTTCCACTTAAACAACAAAAAAATCCAAAGTCTAGCCTTGCCTCAGCATCCAGTAACTGAAAGATAATTTTAAAACATGTGGAAAATGTGTTCCAGAAAACAGTTTCCAGCA